AGCATAAACCTAAACGTTTGGCGCATATAACGTCTAGAGTATATAGAAGGGGGTGGTGTTAATACATTCGTTGCTAATGTTTCATATGCTTTAAATGTGATGAAACTCACATGAAATGTAGATTATTATATACTTCATCGAATACGGGGTGCAGAAAGTCTAGCAGCCGACATTAAAAAGGTTTTGTTTGAGCGCATATCAACCAATGTCCAGAACAAACCTAAACGTTTGGCGCATATAACGTCTAGAGTATATAGAAGGAGGTGGGGTTAATACATTCGTTGCTAATTTCCATTTGCTTTAAAAGTGCTGGAACCCATATGAAATGTAGATTATTAGATACCTCATCGAATACGGGGTGCAGAAAGTCTAGCAGCCGACATTAAAAAGGTTTCATTTGAGCGCATATCAACCAATGTCCAGAACAAATATTTTTGTTAATAACGACTAACGTGGAGAGAATATCGGTGAATGGGGTTTCGGCTTTTAATACATTCGCCGCTAATTCCCATTCCCTTTAAATGTGCTTAAACTCACATGAAATGTAGATTATTATATACTTCATCGAATACGGGGTGCACAAATTCTAGCAGCGGACATTAAAAAGGTCTTATTTGAGCGCATATCAACCAATGTCCAGCACAAACCTAAATGTTTGGCGCATATAACGTCTAGAGTATATAGAAGGGGGTGGGGTTAATACATTCGTTGCTAATTCCCATTTGCTTTAAATGTGCTTAAACTCACATGAAATGTAGATTATTATATACTTAATCGAATACGGGGTGCAGAAAGTCTAGCGGCCGACATTAAAAAGGTTTTATTTGAGCGCATATCAACCGATGTCCAGAACAAACCTAAACGTTTGGCGCATATAACGTATAGAGTATATAGAAGGGAGTGGGGGTTATTACATTCGTTGCTAATTCCCATTTCCTTTAAAAGTGCTGGAACTCACATGAAATGTAGATTATTATATACCTCATCGAATACGGGGTGCACAAATTCTAGCAGCCGACATTAAAAAGGTCTTATTTGAGCGCATATCAACCAATGTCCAGAACAAACCTAAACGTTTGGCGCATATAACGTCTAGAGTATATAGAAGGGGGTGGGGTTAATACATTCGCCGCTAATTCCCATTTGCTTTAAATGTGCTTAAACTCACATGAAATGTAGATTATTATATACTTCATCGAATACGGGGTGCAGAAAGTCTAGCAGCCGACATTAAAAAGGTTTTATTTGAGCGCATATCAACCAATGTCCAGAACAAACCTAAACGTTTGGCGCATATAACGTCTAGAGTATATAGAAGGGGGTGGGGTTAATACATTCGTTGCTAATTTCCATATGCTTTAAGTGTGCTGAAACTCACATGAAATGTAGATTATTAGATACCTTATCGAATACGGGGTGCAGAAAGTCTAGCAGCCGACATTAAAAAGGTTTTATTTGAGCGCATATCAACCAATGTCCAGAACAAATATTTTTGTTAATAGCGACTAACGTGGAGAGAATATCGGTGAATGGGGTTTCGGCCTTTATTACATTCCTCGCTAATTCCCATTTGCTTTAAATGTGTTTGAACTCACATGAAATGTAGATTATTATATACTTCATCGAATACGGGGTGCACAAATTCTAGCAGCGGACATTAAAAAGGTCTTATTTGAGCGCATATCAACCAATGTCCAGCATAAACCTAAACGTTTGGCGCATATAACGTCTAGAGTATATAGAAGGGGGTGGTGTTAATACATTCGTTGCTAATGTTTCATATGCTTTAAATGTGATGAAACTCACATGAAATGTAGATTATTATATACTTCATCGAATATGGGGTGCAGAAAGTCTAGCAGCCGACATTAAAAAGGTTTATTTGAGCGCATATCAACCAATGTCCAGAACAAACCTAAACGTTTGGCGCATATAACGTCTAGAGTATATAGAAGGAGGTGGGGTTAATACATTCGTTGCTAATTTCCATTTGCTTTAAAAGTGCTGGAACTCATATGAAATGTAGATTATTAGATACCTCATCGAATACGGGGTGCAGAAAGTCTAGCAGCCGACATTAAAAAGGTTTTATTTGAGCGCATATCAACCAATGTCCAGAACAAATATTTTTGTTAATAGCGAATAACGTTGAGAGAATATCGGTGAATGGGGT